CTGATTTTCATGGGGCAGAATATGGTCAAGTACAGGCCGCTAAAGGCTCTTTCCTAGCACAGCTTACAAAGTAACTCATACTCCCCCCCCCTCTCAGAGGATCACAAACCCTGTATTTACATGACGTAACCCAAACACCCGTTTGACTAAATGACGACAAATAGCCGATTGTGAGCAGGATAAACCGCTTATGTTGAAACTTTGACCAGACCCTGCCACAGAAAATCTTTGAGAGTTCTGTTAATATGGTAGTTTGTCCTTCTTCTTGGCCCACATCTCAAAGGGACGCGAGCAGTTGGCGACGGCGAGATGTTCGAGTTTTCTGAAAAAAAGCTCTGCATTCGAGTGGTTTTGAATCTTTGAAAGTCTCAGTATACTACCGATGGTCATCGGAGCACGGATTTTTCAAGAATTCGTGGAAAGCCTTATCGTCGAATCCAACTTCTGCAGCCTGAAGAAGCAGGTCTCAATGGAGTTTTTAACTGAGTCCTACCTCTAATTGTTAGTATCTTCTCCATAGAAGTTAGAAAACGCTCACCTGTTCTGCTGTTGCTCCATAATAGATCGAGTCAAAACGCGCCCATAAACAAGCTCCCAAACACATTGGGCATGGATAACATGAGGTGTAAAGCACACAGCCAGAAAGGTTGAACGTATCTGTCAAATGTGGAAGAAAACATGCTTCTTTTGGAGCCGCCATGTCAAGACGTCCCAAATGAAGGGCATTGAAATGACTTAGTTGCATTCGGTTTCTGATTCGGGCTATTCGCGACGGGTGAATTTCAATTTGACTTGGCTTCTTAAAAGCAGTTGGCACGATGACTGGGGCGGGTGGTTACTGCCGACGTCATTGGTGCAATGGCCGGACGGGATGTGGACAAACACCCTCTCGCAGCCCTTCCACCAATAAAGTTGGCAAAAACCGCCCGCCCCGCCATCGCACCCCTGCTTTCTCGAAAAAGGTGCGTAATGGGATTTAAATACGACAGACAACTTGGTAAGTGACTCCAGAATTTTATGTAACATTGTACGCAAACGCTACACCCCCTTTATCTTGCTACTAGTGGAGACGCTGACATTCCTCATCCCGCTTGTGTAATACAATCACATTTTTCCCCTCAAGGCTTCGGATGGACACTCTTTATATTAAACCAGTCGGATCGCCCGGCTAACGCCGAGCTCTCCTCCTTCTTGGAAGCCCGGCTTCGCCGGGCTCATGCAACTGCTTTAGAGTCGTGACTAACCGCTGTCTTCTAATCAAATGAATGTAGAAACGCGCCATATGATCGCAGGGCACTTTCATAATGAAAAGTTCAAAATCTTGGATAATCGATTACTCTCCTCCCCATCTTATGACAGCCATGGATGCTTCGGTCTCCGCAGTCGCTGCGTGCTCCTGTTCAGGCGAGCGTCGGTCGCGCCAATATGGTACCCCTTCACCTCACCTATCCCCAAACTAACCTCAGCTATTCCCCGCTCAGCCACCCTACAGGTCACGCTCAGCTGCTACGCGAATAGCCCGTGCAATGGTTCTGAGTGCACTAAATGGTTGTTATGTTGTGGAGGGTGTTATGACTATCAAAACGCTACCACAATTTGATAATGCAACATTAATCGGTTCAGTTCCGATTGCGGTCGATCCATTTTCTTCCCATCTTATCGCAACCGTAGACGCCTTACCGCCGCAGGCGCTATGTGCTCCTAATCGCGAAATCGCCGTTCTCATCTGGTATCCCCCTCACCACATCATATCCCAGTGACCCTATTTAACTGGCGCCCACTCCCGCACGTGGTATGCAGCCGCCACGTGAGCAGCTGGTGCAACATAGGGACACTACGCCGCCACTGTTCTTACCACCGCCTTGCTCGTGCTCACGTCCAGCTCCCAAGCGAGCAGCTCCTGCAATAGCACAGAGTCTATCACAGTGGTTGGCTTAGATAGGGGAGCTATTCACAATCCAAACAGCTTCCTAGTTCGTTGCTGTAACATGGATTAGCTTGCAGTTTTGCTAGGGGTTCTTTCCTTCTGTCTTGCCGCCTGCTCCTATTCCAAGCGTACGCTACGCATCCCCTTACTGTACCCAGTTTGCCCGATTCAATCCATATGCCTCCTTCCCCTGCATGGGCTCAGATCCGACTGAGTACGCGCAAGGAAGTGATGGGAGAAGGGGGTCACTCGATACTAACTCCCACCTTCCTCACCTCACCCCATTCCGTACTCCACCCCCCCCCCACCTTGCCCCTTGCACGCGCTTACGTCCAACTGCCACGCGAGCAACCCGTGCAATGGCTCGGAGTGTAGTGGTTTTCTTATATAGTGGAGAGTGTTATCACAACCAAAACAACTTCTTAGTTCGTTACGGTAACATAGATTGGCTTGCAGTTTTGTTAGCGGTTGTTTCCTCATCCCTTGGTGCGCGTTTCTACTGAAACGCGCGCTACGCACCCCTCACTGTACCCCCCCCCGCGACCCCTTCCCTCTGCCTCCCTCCAATACATGTGCTCAGCTCCGGCTGAGCACATGCAGGAGAAGGAGGCAGGGCGACCTGGCACCCCCACCCTGCCCCCGCACGAGCACACGTCCAGCTGCCACGGCAGCAGCTCGTGCAATGGCTCGGAGTGTACCGAGTGGTTGTCTTATATATGCTGTTATCACAATCAAAACATTGGATTGATACATCTGCACCGATGGGTTCCCGGTTTGGCTAGCGGTCGTTTTCTTCTTTCACTAACGTGTTTAATCCCGTAAAGCATTTTGCGGACGGACAGACATACAAACCGACATACATACCGACAAACCGACACACAGAGTTAGTGGTTTATAGAATGTAAGGATTGAGTAGGCGTGGCATTTGAACATGGCATAGAATAAGTTGCTGGTGGGATATTTCAGTTTGAGACAGCTGCCATCTTATTAACTGTCGGACAGAGACATGACCACAGTTGTATCAAAAACGAAAATATCTCACAAGCACAGGCTGCGCCACGATAGTTGAAGTACGCAGCCACGCCCACCACATATCAGGGATTTCGAGCGTATTTGGTCAAGCCAAGAAAACCCTATCATCTGTGCTTGTTCGCAGTGAGTTTTTTAATTTTATCACCAGTTAATAAAAATTGAAATCACTGTTGCCTATTAGCGAGATTTATTTTATCACTAACTGTGAAATTTACTTACTGAGCGCCTTGCAAGCATTCCTGATAGCCGTTACTTCAGCGTGCATGGTTGGATCCTTTGTGGCCAACACCTGATGAACGTACAACTCATCTCTAAAAATTCACGGAACTGGCCCGTAAAGCCGCGTTCATACCCAGCGATTTATAATAAAAATTTCAGAACCGGAGAACAGGTGGATAATGGACAATTATCGGGTACGAACTGATTAACGACATCGACCGATTGAAGTCAATACCTATCAAAATTACCAACTGCCAAGAAACAATCTGTATCAACTCTTTTCGCGGATACTCCACTGTCTAATACGGTGGTGGATATGAGCGCGGCCCAACAGTCACTCCTATATTTGGACTTGGGATGAATTGTCCGCTGTATTTCTACTATGAATGTGCTTAGAACTTACCATATTATGCCCAGTAGCTATGACCTTCCCTTGTCGAACTACAACTGCTCCAAAGGGGCCGCCATCTCCTGCCTGCACTCCTGCACATGCTTCCTCAACGGCGGCCTGCATGTGCTGCTCTTATCGACCACTGTTTACTCGGCAACGTGGTGACTGAAACTGACCTTCAGATCCCAGTCATTGCTTTCTTAGCAATGATAAGATAGCCGAGGAATCATAAGCTCCGGATAAGATAATAGAGATAAAACCCAGTTTTAGCCAGGAGCGCCGCGCTACTTCATTCCACCCAGGTCCTCATACTCTGTCCTTACAGCGGAATTAGCTAACTGGCACGCTACAACGCGCTACCAGCACTCCGTGAAGGACCAACTCTCCGGGACGATAAATTGGCTCTATATTCGTCTGGGAGGATAAAAAGCCAGCCATACACATCGGCTATCCCCGGCAAGTCATTGTATAGGTCACTCACGGTTGAACAACCACTTGAATCAATTACGCCTAGTTTGCCAAGGTGCATGAGTGCGAGGTAAGGGTGTTCGCCATGGATTCAATCTCCGCTCAAACACTTCAGGCACTTTTCTGTGGGCGGAGCTAGCTCGGACGAGTTTCTCCATCGCGCCGCTGCGAACTTTTTTTCCTGGCGCCCTGCCCTTCTTGTTCATTTGAGCCGCTATCTTTCAAACTACCTTTAGTCCAAAGTTCTCCAGAAATAAGAGTGTTTCAGGTTCACCTGTCATCATGGGTGTCTCAGAAAAAGAAGTGGATTTCCCTAGAGGAGGAGCACCAACGGTTCGAACACCTCATGCAGCGAAGTCTGCGTCTTCAAAGGTGGTGAAATCACACAACGACGAAAATCAGTTGTTCGGTGTTACCAAGAAGGTACTATTTCTCTTCTGCAATGTTAATAATCTAAAATTTTAAGCGAGTCAGTTCGAATTTCTTGTTTGTTTTTTTAACAGTTATGTGTGTCAGAAGTCTTGTGCAGTTGCAAGGATCCCACTGAGGCCAAACTCATGTGAAGTCGTGAGAACAATGACATACTTTGGGGAACTGATAAGTTCGCCTCTTTTTTCCATAACTCAGCGGAAGGGTTTTCTCCCTGAACTACTATGAGAGGGCTAAGCGTGACATTCGCGCTCAGTTGATACCCTTAAGACCCGTAGATATGTAAGCACGGCACGTCATATGTTTGGGGATCCCCAGCGGGGGTCGTATTTGGTCGGTGGAGAGAGGAGGATCGTATTTGCTCTTCAGAAGAATGCCATCGGTTGTTGACTTTTCTGGGGTTTTCTCGTTTTACGTCAATTATACGCGCTGCCAAATTCGTACCCTCCATCTCGACACCAGTTTTTCTTTTCGGGGGCGGGAAAAGGGGACTGGAGAATTTCAAAGGAGAAGTGGTAGGAAGTTGAGAGAATTTATGAAGATGATGACGATGGTATGTAGCGCTGCGGGGGGGGTATGGAGTAGGCGCTGGGGGGCGGCGCTTTACCGGGGGTCTTGAGAGGTATCACATTTTGCAAGGATTTTTCCTCAACGGCAGGGCTTTCCCTTTACGTAAGTCTGTTAAGTTATAAACTCCTGCCGTCGCAATCGCGCGCTAGCGAACACCATGGGAAGAGGCTACAGCCTGAAACAAAATGGTTGATTCAGAGAGGACATACACCCCTTATCCCTGAGCCAGAGTAGGCGTGGCATTTGAACATGGCACGGGATTGGTTACTCGCGGAGTATTTTCAGTCTGTCTGTGTTTTTTGGGACAACGTGGTCATCTTGTTTGAAGTTTGGACAGAGAAGACTACAATTGTATCGAGCGGGGGCTGCATGAAAATATCTCCCAGACAGAGGCACTTCAGGTTCAGTTGAAAAATGCGGCCACGCCTACCCGATCTCAGGGATTTCGAGTATATTAAGCAGATGTTGGTTATAAACACACAATAAAGGATGAATGATCGAATTAATGGGAATGTTGATAACGAAGTTTGTAGCCAACAGCAAGAATAGGAAGGTCTATGTGGAAAAAGCTCAGAAGAGGACTCTAAAAACAGTCTCATTCCCGTTCATTTTGAAGGCAATGGATTTCAACATAAATTAGCTGGTTGGTGAAATAGGAACAGAAGAAAAACATAATCAAATAACAATTCCAGCAAGGGCGAATGGGCTCATTCGGGATCTTGGCGGATTACGAGAATCGTGGAGTAAGAGTTCTTAATCAGACTTCATCCCTCAATGGAGCTTCGCTGTCCTCTGCTGAACTTCACCATCATTCTCTTCATATGTCTATTCCTAGGCCCCTCATTGAACTTTCTCCATATTTCGCCTTCTTTGTTTGTTGTTACCTTTTAACATATGCTGTTAAATCTCTCGTCAGTTCTTCGATCAATCAACCTGTAATGGTTTGTCCCACTTCTTGGAAATGTCCTTTCGTAATCAACTTTTCAGAAATAGCGATCGATTCCACTTTATAGCTCCGCTGTGGTGTTCGCACTCGCTGCGATCGCGACGCCGTGCGGACTTATCTAATTTCTGACTTACTCAGGGGATCCTAGAGTTTATGGATTGCCCCTCCCCATGTTGAAGCGTTGAGGTTTTTTCCGGTGTTCCCCCCAGGGAGAGTGGGGGAGGGCTGAGTGGCAGCAGTTGCGCTATCGACATAGCCTTGTGCTTTATTCCTTGAAAATTTATCTCTTTTGACGTGAGACATCTAGTACACTAGTAGCATATTAGTATTAATGGTCTTTCTGTACAGTGATAAGGCTTCTTTGACATAGCGAGTGCGGGGCAGACCCCCTGGTGATTTCAGTTTCTCAAAAAAAGGTTTTCGTACAAAAAGCCTTCGCCCAATGCCGTCATGATATCCAAAGTCTCGTTTTCAACCCCTCCAGCGGAGAGCTACCGGTCGATTGAAGATATCGATCGGTAACTTCTCGATGGATAATTATCTACTTGTATTTCTGTATGGGTGCTTAGCTTTTTATTCAAATACTGTTATTGTTTTCAGCGAAAATCAAAGTCCAGAGCTCCTTCGTCTTCCGAAACACCCACTAAAAAGAAGAAATCAGAAGAAAAGTCAGCAGTATGGAGCAAGCCAATGACCCTGGACCTCCTTACCGACGGTGTTATGGGGTTAGGAGTTGTTATAGAGGTAAGCGAAATGTGCTGTTTCAGTCGCTTACGTAGTTAAGGGAGAGTAGTCGTCATCGACTCTATTCCTTCCCCAGAAAGGATCAGGCTCAGAGAACAGACGACAAGGGTCACCGAGAGGTTATTCTGCAAAGAAGGCTTTGTCTGCTCCAAGCCTAAACTTTAATTAGGGGAAGCGAAGCAATTACGCTGGCGATGCCTCCCCCAAATGCGCTAGCGCCCTGCTTTCGTATCATTTCACTATTTTTCTTGCCAAAAAACAACACACACAGCGACTCCCTTCGGAGTCTTTCTGCTAGCTGGATATGGTCCTGGAATACAGCTTTGTATTTTTCGCTGTTTACCCTTCTACTTGGTTTCTGATTCTTCTTAGTGACATTCTGAACCGTTTCATCCTTTTTTTAACATAATTTACGAATCTATTTTTTTCAGATTCATGAAGATTATGTGTTATTAGAAACCGCCGACTCATGTCGTGTAAAACTTCCTGCCACTCAGGTATATTTTATATTTCTTTTCTTAGTTTCAGAATTTCTTCTACATTTTTGCCTTACAGCATCACAAATTGTAGAAGAAATGTTTCGTCTCTACCCAAATGTGCTCCTTTTCAGATATCTAAAAAATTCACGGAATATTTGAAACTCGAGAAAATTTCTCTAGATTCTGCATTTGTTATTGGTCAGATGGTTCCATTTCGTGTTACTGAGCGTAGCTCACAAACAAGTAAGTAACTTTTTTATCGTAACGTTCTTCACCTCTGTTTAGCTTAATTGTTCTGTGTTTCCAAGCAAAGAAGAAGGGAAAAGGGAAGAAAACCACGTCAGCGTTGCCTTTTGTTACTTGCGATCCTTCAAAGCTGTATTCTCATTTCTCACCCGCAAGACTGGTACCTGGGCTTGTATTGCAGGGTATTGTGGAAAGTATCGAAGAGAAAGGTACGATCTATTTTTAGGGTAATTAGTTCGATCTCATCTGGCCATAAAATGCTTCAAACGTACAGGTGCCCTTTTGGACATTGGTATGCAATCACTGCAAGCCTTTCTGCCTACCAAGAACCAACAGCGAAGTGTAATTATTGGCCAGCCAGTTATGGTTCGGATAGAGCTTGTAAAATCGTCCAGAGTTATAGCTGTCACTTCATACGTGGAACAGGTGAGTGTCCGTTGCTTTTCTCCGCTTTTTGTTTTGATTCTCACTCAGGAGTGCGATCAGGGGCCGTATACTGTACTCCGCCTCGAGGGAGATAACGGATAAAGTCTTCGCCGTTGATCAATCCCTTTGTGGGATGCGGCACGCATTCTACTTCCATTCAGAATCGTAGTGGCTTATTGAATGCGATGTGGCCTATACAATGACTTGCGGTGGCCAGCCGATGTACAAGTCAGTGTTTTATCCTCCCAGACGAATCTGGTACCAATTTACCGTCCCCGGAGGGTAGAAGGCTTGGTTGGTCTGGGCGGGAGGATGACGAGGGAGATATCCCCTTGTAAACCTACATTGCCGTTATCTCCCCCAGGGGAAACAGCATACGGCCTCAGAAGGCTCCTGTGACGAGTCTTTTGTTTCATTCATGGCTTTTGAGAACTATTAGAGACTAGTATCCTGAAATGTTCACGTAAGTTCCAAGCCTGTCTTTCCGGCCGATGCTCAGTGTAGTGGGGAGGGTCTGCGCGACCTGAGTTTATTAAAGATGTCGTTATTAGTCGGGGCGGTGCCAAGAGACAAGTCAAGGGTGGAACCCACCCGCCTCGTTCTACCTTTGGGTGCTTTCTTCTTAGACTGGACGCCAAGAGGTGACCGATTGTCAAATCGGCGCCGGAGGCGAATCAGCTCATCCTGACACACCTTAGCTGTCAGCACTGCCTGTCCTACTAATGCAAACTGTAAGACTTTCGCCCTCCTTCTCACCTCCCCTTTCCCGGCGGAGCGTAAACTCCTGTCGTTTTTTGCTTCTCCATAACCTCTCCCATGCTCATTCTCCCAAAATCACAGACGACCAGAATGGGCGCGGTCTTTGACGCCAAAGAGCTTTCACAGTTGCGCTTCAGCTAGAGTAACGCCCTTCCCCTCCGATTTCCACTGAAATCTCATTTTCCAGTTATTGCAATCGCTTTTGTTGATAAAGTATTTTTTTATTTCGGTCATTATTGCAAGCTTAGTTAGAAATGAGGTAAAATGTTCTGGAAGATTTCATCCTTAGTGTTTGTTTTCAGGATAATTTATGCCTGGAGGCTTGCCAGAGTCTGCAACTGAATCATTTAACTCCTGGGACGATCATAGACTGCGAACCGGATGCTGAGCCGTCAATAACCGCCGGAGTTTATGTCAACTTGGGGAACGGTAAGGCTTCTTTCTTCTGACAGGAGTGGGGGGGATTCTTTCCGTACACGCTGGCTCATAGACGTTTTTTTCTTTGCCTTTTTGAAGTGCCTAGGAGGGGTGATGAAAGAACCTGATAGTTCATGACTAGCTCAGTTACAGCTGGCTTTTTTGGGCATTATTTCCTCAAGGAGAGGGACGGAAGGGACCACATACCGGAAAATAATAAGAAGTAGTGGTAGGATACGAAGGAATTATGGCAATCAAATGATACCAGTCGAATTTTGAGTGGCCACTTTGCAGGTTCGAACAATTTCGAGCGATGTCAGCGATTGAACGCGGCATTGAGGGGTTGCACTTTGGCAGTGACCAACATCTTTTTTGTTCTGGAACAGGTGACTTTGGAGGGGAAAAAACTTGGCTGATTCAGTGGACATCGATCTTCCAGTCATGCACTTGTGATGCGGTGTGCCTTGTCGCGCTGGTGATTCCTTCAGTCTATGGCTTTAGTACATTGTGTGGAAGTTTAATGTTTCAAGACAAGTCTACTAGGTTCTTTTTTGACGTCCATATACTGTGACCTAAGAAACAAGTTTAGTGCATCGATGTCCATGCATTCTTCGTGTCCAGCGATGGGTCTAGCATAGCGTATATTTGCGGCGAACCCTTCGTTGCCTTTCTAGCACCTCTCGGACTTTCTGGACGATTAGAAACTAGTTTAGAATATCTTGAACTGTTTGTAATGGTGTTTGCAATGATGCAGCCGATCCGTGCTACGAGGCCATTTAAAATTAAAATGGTATCTTTCCAACAGCGTATCCATATCGATCGTATCATCATCATCATTCACCAGGGGGAAACGCCCTTTTCGACAGAAGACTCGAGTATTTTTTTCGGACACGCGTCTGTTCGGGGTAAGGGGAGACGGTAAAGAGGATCGTAATTTGCCACCGCCACGCGCGGCGATGGGCGCGGCGTTTTCATAACTCGTTTTAACCTGTCGAATGAAGCACCGGACTTCATGTAGACCCCGTCATCGTAGACACTCATTACTGTTTTCGGTCCTTAATTGCATGTTGTCGCCATCTACTACCTGAAACCATCGTCCTTTGCAGGCGGACAGTCGCGATGCCCA